TTGGAAAGGCACAACACTGACCTTACTCAATCCCTTCAAACAGTCCAGATGATTGAGGACTCCAAGCACTCTTGGCATACCATGAACTTGACATATGTTCAAAAATTCAAAAGTCTCCATTTCAAAACCGTACGATGCATCCACCATAAGCAAAACCTGAAAGACAGCACTGATAACAAAAAAGAAAAAAGAAAAATGAGGCAAGAACCCACCAAATCAGCAATTTTTGCCATATCTATCATATGATTTATGTCATTTTTTACTTCGATAAATTGCACTCTACGCTTCTTTCCCGTAACTATCGTAACAGGACCTAGGAAAGCAATCTATGGGGTTAGAAAAGCAACATAAAAAAAAGAAGCAGACCTTTCAATTCTTCAAAACCACTCTTGAGATAGTATTTTACAAGACCGCGTAGCAGAGTTGTTTTTCCGACCTAAGATGACCAAAAAATATGGATAAAAATGTAATGGGCATAGCAAAGGTTTAAAAAGGAAATTACTTTGCTGGGCCCAACGATTGCTACAATGATCGGAGGTGGAACGACAGGCTTTCTATCCATAAACAAAATATGCTTCTTCCGCTCATTTATATCTGCTGCCCTGAAGAATACGTTTGTTTAATACACAGATTTGATAGTATATTGGCTAGACCAGTAAAAAGCTAATGAAGAGAAAAAAGAAATTAGTTTGAAGAACTCCAAGAAAAATCAGGTGAATAAGGGGAATACTAGGTTTACCTCCTAACAGCTTTTCCGGCAGCGACGGCTGATTTGAACGTGAAGGCCTTAGCATTGTTACCTTTCACCTTATTCTTCTCCTTAATTTTTGTGGCCTTACCTCCCGTCTTATGACCTGAACAAGCATGGCTATACATTATCGCTGATAGCTAATTTGTTCGATGGATGAGGAAAAATGAGCCAACATGTTCTATCATCTGAACTCACTTCGATGTTCTTTGTTCTTTTGGCTCTCAAAAGCTCCTGGGGGAGCCATTTTATGAAATTAGCAAGTGACGCAGAGCCTGGTAGATCACACTAGAAAAACAATAGCAAACCTGTAAAGTGAGATATTTAGTAGTGAAGAGCACAAGTACGACATAGCGGATTAATAATAGATGATGGAATCTTCAGATGAGTGAAAATTAGCCATAGTTTCATGAGTTTTTGAAAAAAAGGGCAAATTTTGGGATCCAACTTCTCCAATCAAGAGAATAACAGCTGCTGGGATGAATAACACCATGGAGATTGTGAATCAAAAA